GCTCAGTCTACTTACACTTGCTTTTCAAATAAGACATAAGCAAGGCTAAGTATTGCTGATAATAGTTGATTAATGAAAGTACATGATCAACTGTGCATGTGCGCGCTCACACACACTGACACACACACTCACACACACTCACACACACAGCTTTAGACTCGGGTTTAGCTGAAAATAAACTGTAATGAAAATGAATTTATCTGAGATAGTAAAGTTCCTCCTGACGAGCTGCGTGTGGTTCATACACGCAAAGACAACAACGGTGCACCGGAAAGGGTGATTATGCCGGGAAACATGTTGTCACGTCTCTTATTAGAAACCAGCCCCACCCTGTAGCTCTTATCAGATGGAAAAATGTTAATCTCATTTGACACAATGCTAAAAAAAAATTATCAGGCCCAAAATTCAAGAATAGTTATTGTTATACTATATTATAATTAGGAACTATCCGGCCAGGTAATGATTTGAATTGTAGTTTGTGTAAAAAGAAATACATAAATACATACACATCTCAGATAATAGTGTGGAAATTGTTCTTTTGTCAGCTATTAGCCTATAATGATTGTAGCCAGCCAGCATTTTCCATAGGCAAGCTACTATTACACCCATCTAAAAGTGTGATCAATTAATTTGCTAAAACAATAAAAAAACAGAGGAAATTATTAGGGCCTCAAAAAATATAGCAGCAAACTACATTTTTAGCAAATCAAATCAAATCTGCAAGACACTTTTCAATTTCACCAAAAACGGAATGTTGATGTTGAAGCCACAGTTTGTTGGAGTAAGAAGTCATTGGGATGTGAAGTGCACATTTAGAGCATCACGGTGGGGCTGGTTTGGCTATCGTTGACACGGTTTTGTTGTCATAATTGGAGTCTCACCAAAGTTACAGGGAGTAATTGGGCGGCATATGGACACCTTAATGTAAAGTGATGCCTTATTAATTTCACATGAGTGCACGAATCAGAAGTGACGCGGAATAACACAAGGGAAGAGGCAGTTGATTTACCCCTGAGCAAGGCAGCAGGTCTGGCATCTGCTGCCCGGCCATGATGGCATTTTTATTAATTGGGGAAAAATTTAAATAAAAAGTAAATTCCTTAATTCAAGTCGTTTCATAAGTATGGCTCTGAGGGTTTTTTTGTTCCTGTTTGGTCACATTATCCACACTTTCTGACTGAAGAAAACTTCTTTACATGCTCTGATGCGGGATTTCAAACTTTTAAAGCTTAAAAAGAAAAAGATCTCTCTTTAGCTCTTAATGTGGCACTGGGTTGTCGCCTGCTAACTGGCTGTCAGTGAGGTCGAAATGGTAATTTTTTTTATCCATGCTGCTTATTTTCTACTTGCTTTTTAAGCCTCAGAATAAGGCAAAACACCTTAAAACAACGCCACGTATAACGCTGTAATACTATTTGTAATTTGTATAAGTAGAGACATGTGTTTTCCTTTAAGAAATAATTCAGCTGTGCATTTTTATAATCGCCTCATTGAAATAAAATAATAATTTGCAAGACTTAGCTATATATATACGCCTAAAATGCCACAGACAAAATACATATAAAAGCATGTATATTTTTAGGTTTGTTTATTCTAACAAATCAAAGGCCTTAGCCTGAGTTCCTCCAGGAATTATAATTTTATTCAGTATTGATTGGCGCGGTGTGGTGTGTTTTCAAGGCCTTTACTTCAAATATGCTGTAAAGGCCAGCCACAAATACTGCAATGCACATTTTTAGAAACCCGCACAGAGAGGAAGCATTTCATGTCTGCTCAAATATTTTAACGTTCAACATATCTGTATTTTCCACTAACATTCTGGATTTTTCATGAAATAGACTTTCAGGGTAACAACATTTATGGAACTCGAGACTTAAAAGGTGAAGCAATAAATCAGTTTGTGGGTTCAAAAGGATAAAACAGGAGCAATGCCATTTATTTTCAAAAAGCTAATTCAGTTTCCCCCATGCATGCGCCCTTATATCATATGGGCTCGTCGGCCATCAATGACCATAGGCCAAACTCAAGTAGCCCCATTTATAAAAGTTTAGTTTCACCAGATGCCATTTAGCAAAGGCTTATTCCTAAACAAGCTGTAATTGTCATTTTGAACATCTATAACGCTTGCAACGCTGTGTCACTTTGCAGAGCTGGCGAAATATTGATCCACGGTCCTCTCTGCAAGGCATTATATTGTTTCTGCTCGGATATGCTGCTGTGGGCTTCACGGGAAAGATGGCCCTGATTAATAATCAGTGTGGAACCTGTAAGTAATTGACACAGTGGCTTCAGGTGACTATTTGTGTGGCCTCACTATGCTCTGGCATATACTTTATTTGTATTTTTTATTTATTTTTACATAAGGTTGGATTATACAAACGAAAGAATACATTTTCTCTTCTGCATATGCACACCGGCACTTGCTCTTGTTCTTACTTGTTGGTCTGTGCCTCTGTCTCCTTTGAACTAATTGAATAGAATTCTCCTTGAAATGTATCCTCTTTCAGAAGTGCTCAGAAAACCGTTTCCCTTATATTCTCTGCAAAGCAAATGTCACCGGCTCTTAAGGCCAGGCCTATCTCGGCACAATGGCCATAGAGAGAGCCAACACACATAAACACACAGCTCAAGCCCGTGCAGACATGGCAGGAGTCTATCGATCCGTATGAGAATGTGTAGATGAGGTTTGCTGCCATGTAAGGCCAAACCTTGGCCTTTCATACTCCTCTGTCTTTCTGCATCTCGTTTGTCTCTCTGAGTCTCTGCGCGGGTCCGCAGCGAAAGGAAAAGCAGCGTAAACTGGCCTACAAATAAAAGTTATATCAGAAAGAGAGCTATTCAATTTTATAGAATAAGGGGAAATTATCTTTATATTAGGAATTTAAAAAATCGTATCTTATTCAAATTAATTTAAAGTGTAGGTAGCCCAATCTGGGGCAGGATAGAGTTTTTAATTAATAAGTGTGTATATTCTCTGTGTTTTTGTTTCCCTGTTGTCAGCCCTATTTGCCTGCCTCTATTATGTCCACAGGACTACACGGTTGGACAGCCACACTTCGAGGAATTAGTTGTCTTTTGTCTCGACACACGTCACACACACGCCGTTGACATTGACTTCACATCAGAGACAGTTTAACTTCTTCTCTTTTTTTTTTCTTTTTTTCTTTTATTTAACTCGTTCAACCGAGCGCTGGCTCTATTGTGGGGACCCTGACAGATGCGGGGCCCCTAGCAGGTCCAGGACAGGGAAAAGTCTGAAAGGTTAATCTGTCCCCCCGCAGATGTTGGCTTTGGGAGTCTTGAAGCGTCACCTTTGACATGTCCCTCATTCAGCAGGGGGTCCAGCAGGACACTGACCGCTGCAAGCTGTCACCTCGGCCGGCCGAGGACGCCCTGCGCTACCGCTCTATTAGGCTAAACGGCCCCTGACATGTAAGCAGGGGCCCGGCTTTCATCGGGCTGCAGGTTTGAGGAGTTTGACACTCGTGCAGCATAATGCGTTACTACAACACTGGGATACCAGTCATGTTACGTGTCAGCATGTCATTTCCTCCTGGGCCTTGGGTTGTAGAGAGATGCTGTAATGCTGTAAATGTGTTTGTGAGTTTGTAACGTTTGGAAGTTCCTGCAAAAATAAATAATCTCTTATTTGAATAAAAGTTCGTGTTGGCTCTTTTCAAATCACTCTCAAACTTAAGAATGACATGTGCATGTGTCCAACTCCAAATAGGACAAGCGTGTGCACTGACACACACACACACACACACAGTGCTGGGCTTGGTTCGTTAAGCCTAATGGTTGAACAATAGACACATCTGCTCATCTTTTTCTATCAAAAGAGAAGGTACTACAGTCTTCCTCGTTTGGTTAAACCGCCACATATTTGGCGGGGGGGCGGGGGGGGGGGGCAGCTGAAGTAGCAATCATAAAACAAGAATGGCTCTATGTTGTGCGCATGAATACATAGGATCTAACTTTAGTGGCAGCCCTTCAGCTAATAATCCTGCTTTGTTGCAATTCCTCTTTTTCTTTTATGTTTTCCTGAGAAGAGTGTTTCACTGGAGGTGTTGAGGTTTTGACTCCCAGACCTCACTAGTTAAAAATCAACTCCAAATGAACCCGGAAGTTTACTTCATTTGCACCTAATAATTTAAGGAGGACTGGGGATAATGCCTCATTATATCCCTAATGAATCCAACCTTTTCTAAATGACAAACGGCAGTCAGACACTGGGCGCTGTATCCGGTCCATTTCCACTGGTAGATCCTCGGAGGGTTTTATTACAGATCCGTCTATTTGCATTTTTTAACATTTCAGTGGCTGCTGCATATGGCTTAATGGGAGGATAGCTTTTAGCAGGTGGCTTGATACCTCCCTTCCTTAATAAGGTAGCTGACGTCAGAGCCATGGGGGCGGTGTGTGTGCGCGCGTGTGTGTTTGAGAGAGAGAGA